AAATTAGGATTTTTAAATAGTTAATTTGATAATAATATCGATATATTTTTGTTAAATTTATGATATTTTCAAATTTATATTTTATTCAAAAATACAAACATTATTGTTTTTTTAAAAATTACATAAGATCATACTATAACATTGACTGAGATAAAGAATAAAATAAAATATTAAAATCAAGATGTATCTCGCTGCATTACGCGAGTACCCTTCTAGTCTTTATAAAATGTTATAGTATTAAACCAAAAAAACAAATTATTTCGTTAATAAATCTAAATTATATTATAATAAAAAATGAGAACTTTTAAATAGTTGATTTGATATTAACATTGATATTTTTTTTCAAATTTTTATGATATTTTTAAATTTATAAAATAAAATCATTATTGTTTTCTTAAAAACTTATAAAATCGTATTATAACATCGATAAAGACAAAGAATAAAACAGAACATTAAAATCAAGATGTATCTCGCTGCATTGCACGAGTACCCTTCTAATATATTATGATAATTATAAGGACTATCATTGTAAGCTATTGTTTCATATGATTTTTTTATATAAAATTACAATTTAATAAATCTGTTCATTTTATATATATATGTGGTTCACAATGTAAAACTTTTTAGTTGTATCTTTTATTTCATTAAACATATAAAAAATATTTATATTATAAAACAGATATATAAAACAAAAACATTATGAAACAAATACATGTTAACCAAAGATCAAACCATCACAATTTTATAAGTTGTGTAAAAACTCATAATATTTAATAAATTATTATTTTATTTTATTTTTCAAGAAAATAAATTATTATTATTTATTTATATAATATATATTGAATTGAAGAAGTCGTGGACGAGCACGTGGTGGCGATCTACATTGATTTTCCTACCTGCTCCTCCAAACTTGGCCGCTGCTTTTTCTTTTTCTATAATTCTATTTCGTCTCCTTCGTCTCATTATTTAATTAATTTTAAAAAATGACTTTAAAATTATTATTTTTTATTAATTTAAATATCTAACTTGTTATGCGAGACGATTAATCCCAAGATGATTACCTATTTTACAGATAGTTTGAAGTCATCTTATTTGAACCTCCATAGTCACAGGGGAATTTTTATTCCTTCTTAAATTTGAACTTAGATCCTCCAAGCACTTTTAACCTTTGGAGACCAAACTCAAAAGATTAAAAAACTAAAATATTATTTAATATAATATTTTAATTAAACTAAATGGTTTTACACTAATCAAAAAACCATACAAGTTCAATTATAATTTCATTGCTTAAATGTATGTATGCATACATAGCTCTGATTTTTTTGAGAATTTTAGATAACCAATGGAACCATCAAGTGATTGTTTATTTACCTCTTAATAGTTCCATTAAGAGACAACATCTAAATTGTTAAGAGGTAAAACTTGTTTGGTAAAAAAAAGTCTACCTCTTAATGATTCTAAAACCCCCTGAATGATTTTGTATCTTAGATCTCCCTTAACCATTAAGAGCCATAATTTCATTGTACACAATTACCAAACAATTATATTTCATTTTGCATGAAAGCCTCTTAATCATTCTGACCACTTAATCATTCTGCACCAAACCATTCAGCAATTGTCAAACCTCTGAATGATTTTGTATCCTGGATCACCAATAGTCTTAAAAAAAATACTCCAACGAGTAATTGTGTTGGTTTTTTGAATCAACCAGTTTCATCAATTCTATGCATGCTCGGTTTTCCGTTACAAAATAATCACTTACGAAAGACAAGAAAGACCATCAAGACGAATAGCGTTCAAAAAGCCATAAACACGATGATATCAAACACAAATCCAATCCAGAAACAAAAAAACACACCTATACGTTTTAGGTTTTCTAGCACATCTGTTCACGATATTCTTTTACTAAAAACAAGTATCGCACATGTACATGTCCCGGTTGTAACGCACAAGGGTTAGACCAAACCAAACCAAACCATAAGCATGCCTCCTGTACAAAATATCAGAGTACCACCTGCTTCTGTATATTTCTATATCTGCTTCATCTTACCACTCCATTTTGCTTTTTTTCCGGAAAACAAACCAACCCTTCACGAAACAAAACCAGATCATAAACCGGTGCTCTCTTTCCAGTTTGTTCACATTTTACCGAATCTTTTGGGGTCTGTCCGTCTCTTCCTCAGCCCATTGTTTGCCACCACAAGAATCATTCATCATATCCTCCAAAAGGGTTTTGGGGTTGTTCATCGATATAGATCTGTTATTTGTCAGACTTTAATGATTTTAGGGGTAGATATAGTTTGGTCAAATGTAGTGGAGGCAAAAATCAAGTGGCTGGACGCAAGGACCGACTATGACCCTTCACAAGATGGGAAAAGTTCCGATCATTTCTCATCCGTTGTAGTGGGACCCCTGTCCCTGCTGCTGCTGCTGCTGTTGTTGCTGCTGTTGCTGTTGAGGAGCTTGCATGTTCAGAGGTTGAGAGTTATAGTGTGCAAATGGCTGGGAGTATAGAGGATTCATGTAATTCTGCAAAACGCAAGCCAAGGTAAAAGGTTTTTGCATAATAAGCAAGCAGTAAACCAAGCCAAACAAACCCTTTATATCACACCCGGAGGTGAGGTGTATGGAGACTGACCTCTACCCCAAAGAGTAGAGCGAGTCATAACAAGCAAGCAGTGATGTTGTTGGTAAATCTGAAACACGAGAATGTGAAAACCTGTGTCTGCAGAGAACTTGTAGGGGGGACACCAAAGTGGCTCTGTGAAGCATCATCTTGTGACGGATCATTGAATCCGACCTGGGTAAACAAGCCTTGAGAACCATGACCCATGTAGTCCTGTGAAATCAATCAGCAGAGTCAAAACTGACCCAAATAATCAAATACCAATCGTTCCGGACATTTGACCAACAATCAAATACTCCCTCCGTCCCAAAATAAATGTCCAAAAATAAAATAGCAAACAGCTTCACAAAAGTGTAATTTAATTAACTAAATGAAAATTTCACCTTAATAATAGAGGAATTGAACGTCTCCATTTCATAGTTAAGGAGAGAATTGTAAAGTAGGCACTTGCTTTTAAAAGTGGACTTCTATTTTGAGACAAACTAAAATGAAAATGTGGACACTTATTTTGGGATGGAAAGAGTACCATCATTCAACTATGCTTCCAGTGAAACATCATTTATCTTAGGACACATGGAGTACAAATCAAGAGGAACACTTTAAGAGTCCAATAAGGCCCACCAGGTTACACCAAACCCAGTAAGAAAACCAAAGCCGGGTCACATCAAAGAACCCAGTTATTGGAAACTGACTCTTAAGACCCAACATTTCAACCTGGTGAGAGGTCTAACAGGACGCTTCAAAAGCCTTGAGTGTTTAGCCACTTGGTAAGGGTTAAAGTTTCTAAAATTGAACCATCTGGTTGAACTTTATTAAACTTTTATGTTTGAGCAAACATTTGATTATCTAACCAAACAAGCCCGGTATATACCACCCAAGATGGGGTCTGGGGGAGAGTGGAAATGTATGCAGACCTGCTCTCTACCCCAAAAAGTACAACGGTTGTTTTGTGAAGAGGTTTGTGAAAAGTGTGCCGGAAAAAAAAAGTTTGCACCGAAAAAAAAAATTGAAACAAGAAAAGCAAGCAACAACATTTTCTTCTTATGTTATCTTATAGATTTAATTATAGATAGTACATATATTATGTACTTTAGCTGCAGTTGGCGTGGGCTTTTAAGCATCAACATTAGGCTAAGATTCCTCGTTAATACTGGGATTTGGTGGTAGATTGGAAAAAACGAACAAACCTGAGACATGAAGTCATTTCCTGTACCAAAACGAGAATATCCAGCTTGAGAATTCTGGTTCAAGTAGCTTCCTGGAAACCCTCCCTGGGTCGTTGGATTAGCATAGTCAACAGTGTATCCACCTTGGGAAGCCTGAAACAACAAAATTAAAGATTAACCCTATACAAGTCTTGAAATGGAAACAAGATCAGACATCCATAAGGTTAGAAGACTACAAAAGAGATTTACCTGTGTCGAAAATTCAGCAACATTATATGGAACATGTGACCCTTGGCTTTTAAAATCATCACCTAAGAAATCCTGCATGATGTTTGATGACTATAAGAGTATATAGAAGGGGATTATTATTTGATGTACAAACATTGGCATTCACAAAACAATATTACCTGTGACATGCCCCCAACCGAGAACCCATCACGAAATGTTTGTCCCGGTCCTTGAGTCATCTATCACATGCAACAAGTCCTTTATACTCAACAAACACAATCTACAATGATTTGCATAAAGTTCTAGAGGAAATAAAGACAATAGAGAAAAATACTGACATTAGAAACATATCCTGGTTGAGATAATGGACCACCAACTGATGACTGGCTAGTTGGATTTTCTAGCGAAGGGAAGTTAAAGTTAGACCCCATGCTTGCACCAATCGGTTGCTGTGAGCCTTGCTGGTGCGGTAGATGGCTGCCAATAGGAGCACCAGCATTCCCCCGACCAGCGCTGAAACCCCGACTACCTGGCTGAGGAACATGAGGAACACCGCCAACGGGTCCATGTACTCCACGAGTTGGTATGGCATAAGGCTGAGGACCACCATGATAAGGTGGAAGAGGCACCCGGGGCATTGGGTATGCGGCAGGATGCAAACTAGGTTTATGAGTACCATTAGGTGGTCCAGGTGGCATGTATGAACCTGTACCCAGAAAGTGATTAGTCCAGATGCAAATAATGCAAGCACAACAAAGGGGAACAGACCCATGCTTAATAACTCCCTCTGACCGAAAACATCAACCATGATTCACAGAATCGCATGTTGTTCACATAACTATAAATCATAACGAGAAAAAAGAAAACACAAGGTTAAAGTTCAAAGCAAAAAAGAGAAACAAGATTTTAGAAACTAGCATACCTCTGGAACGACCGTTTCTTCCATCGCTGCCAGGATTTCCAGAAGCAGCAGATCCAAAGCTGTCATTGGCTACAATACCAGGTCCACCACCAAAGAAAAGCCTCCGATCATTGTATATCTGCATCATGTAAACCACAAACCAATAAATAAGTTTCCAACAAGTGGTAACTGCACAATGCCATAAAAAACAGAAGGAGAAGGGCCACAATTATTTCGTACTTTCTTTGGCTTCTGAAATTGCACCATACTCTGCTTTAAGTTGTTTAAAGGGCCTTCAACTAAACATTCATGCTCCTGTTTGAAGTAAAAAGAAAGAAACCATGAGTAGTAGAAATGTCAGCTTCTAAAAGGGCATAAAAAATCGGTAGGACTTCAGGCAAAAGTACGATTACGATTGAAAAAACCAAATGCAAAATTTACATCCCCAGGGGAGGGGCTGTTAGCTAAAATGGACCACCTGAACCACCTTTCAAAACGAGAGTACGTTTTAAGAGGGGGGGGGGGGGGGATACAAGATTAACTATCAGCAGAAGTATGACTGCATTACATAAAGGATACCTTATAATGGGTCAGTAACCCATTCCATAGTGGTTGTTTACTAAGAACTTTTGGATTTCCCAGAATGACGATACCATAACGAGCACGAGTAAGTGCAACATTAAGCCTGCGTGGATCATTAAGAAATCCAATACCCTGAACCAGAAAATAAACAAAAACATATGAATTGCTAGAGATGACATTCAGGATACTTCAAAGCCAAGAGCAAACATTCAAACATTAATAAATCATGTTGGAGCATGATCATGGAGATAGTAGTGCATCCAACCTCCTGCTTTCGGTTTTGCAAAAGTCATACTTTTATTTACATGGATTTATCCTCCCCTACCCTTTCAGTTATCCGTCCATCTTTAAGGAACATGAAAAGAATATGAAATCCAACCACATAACGAACAAACATACTGCCCTCTACTACCCAAAATAAATTACGACATAGATCGGCTGTGAACTGACTTATCCTCACATAAAGTAACATCAGATTTTTACGTATAATCTCTATTATTGTCCTATGGATCAGCAGGAGAAAAACTATATATTAACCCATTTTTCCTCACATGAGTCGCTGATCTATTATACCAAGAAATAACCCAAAGGGGTTGGTCCGGTGGCAAAGTCATGGGGACTTGATGTCATCAATCCATCATGAAGCAACCAATCCCTGCTTCAACTCCCATGGTCCCACCAAAGTGTTATAAATTCCTCAGGCCACGGCCTCGCTGGAAAGCCTAGAGTCTGTTTGGCCATTTAAAGGGTGCTTTGCATGGAACCCGTAGACTAATTAGAGCCAAAATTTCCACATAGCACGATTATTCAAAAGAAGCCATGAAGAAATGGTGGGCAGAAGCATAAAAAAGATAGGTACCACAGCTCCCCAACACTAATTTAGAGGCACCAACATTAGATAGAGCAATCAACATGATCTTGCCACTCAGCAATATTTAGCAAGGCACAAATATAAGGACTATAGCAACCAACCTGATGTTCATTACTTCTCACACATGATAAAATGATGTAATCTTTTTCCCGACCTTGAAATGAATCTACACTTGCAACCTGCAAACAATTAGTTCTAAGTACATTTGCTTTGATGAAATGCAGATCCATTTGATTTACAAAAAGGCGACAAAAAAGGCAAGATGCATAGGTTACCTCAATTTCCTTGTAAAGCTGCTGCCTAAGTGCACCATTTCTTGACATATAGTTAACAATGTATGCGCGCTGGCCTTCATACGGTGTTATAACCCCTATCTGCATAACATTGTTGATTGTTAACAAAACCCATCAAAGGCCAGAAACTCATGATAATATGCACATACCTGACTTGGAACTACACCACTCCTCAAAAAAGTGGTCACTATTTTTTCGACATTTGCAGCCTCTGTCCTATTAAGATAGGATGTTCCACTAGCACTAATTTCTTCTTGACCCATCTACAAAAAAATTTAGGTGAACCACATAGGTAAAAATTAATCAAGCTTTGCAATGTTATAGATAGACATTCATTAAGTCGTTCAGAAAGCCGTGATAAAATTCTGATTTAAGTCATGACTTTTGAAGCAGGAACGACCACACTTTTCAAATCAATATGACATTTTTACACATGTAAAGGTATAAATCCTGACCAGCCACCATTTCAGACAAATGAACCAATCAAATCCCGAAAGCATGCAGAGAGAAGATGTACACACCTGGACATAAAAGAACATGGGACGGTTGGGCACAGGCCAGGGAAAATCAATGCCTGTTGATTGTCTTTCATTGATTGTCACTCCATTTTGGAGGGTACCTTCGTAAAAACTATTGGAAGGAAATTCCGAAAGGCACGGATGCATCCGATATTGAACCTGCAAATGTAGAAGTCAAAAGGTAATTAGTTTCTAAAACCTAGTTTTACATAGACGCTCACTTTTGCCAGTCAAATGCATTTTCTGAAAGGATCTACACTTGGCCCGGTTACCTTTCAAAAGTATATACCATACATTCAGATGAACTGATGTATTGTTCTTTTTTTCCTTTCTTTTTGTAAAAAAGTAAGGGATAAGATACAGCATTTTTACGTAATTATCGTACGAAGTCAACCTTGCTTTGTGTATTTCTCATCAATATATGGATCTAAGAATATAATATTCAATAATTTCTTTATGTACAAGCAACAATGCCAAGTCTGTACGTTATGCTGAAGACCTTCAATCCTTAAAGAATACAATGAAGAAAACACGTAACTATGAAATTGCAATATTTCTGGCCTATCAATAAAGTAAGAGGCTTAGGTTCCTATAAATTCCAGAAGTTAGTTCAGAAAATTCAGCAGTCACAAGTTATTTTTCTAGCTTTCATGAAAGGTTCATTCCCTAGAAATTGGTTAGCAGACAATTGTTTAACAAACTCCTTACACCCAAAAACATGATTTTCCAAATATCTGAAATTGACTGGCTTGTATCTGGAAAGAAAGTTGAAGATATGATTTCCAACGATACGTGCATCTGAGATTCGCTGCATCCATGTCAATGGAAGTTTCTATAAGGGATATCTCAACCTATGACCACATAACAAATCGCATACTATATCTAAAAAAGATTGTCGCAACATAGGGGGAAAAAAATGTGAAAGGTTGCTTCCAAGTTCCAACTTTATGATGCATCCACGTGCAACCGGTATGGTATAACAAGGTAAACATTGACTAATCAATTCAACCTTAACAAGGCCTCTTTGCCTCTCACAATGACGTAATTCTTACGTGAAAAGGTTGTTGCTCAACTCCATACTTGTAATACGGATACTTGAAGAAACAAGAGAGAGAGAGAGAGAGGGACCTGCAATCTAATTGGTTTGACACCAAGCACCACAAGTCGCTCAAATAGTGACTGAGCTAACCCTGCACGAGCTGCTTTCTTGCACATGATAACCGGACCAAGCTGGCAATGGTCACCAACAAGAACAACCTAATACAAAAAAATATTCCATCAGGAAAGAGAATCCTGGAAAAGAGTTCAATTACAGTAGGAGTTACACAATTCCCACACATACCTGCTTTGCCCCAAGAACTAGAGGAATAAGACACTCAGGCTCAGTTGATTGAGTAGATTCGTCAATAAGCACCTGAGAATTGTAAAAAGTAAAAAGAGAGAATAGAACATGTAAACCATAACACACAAAACAATAAAGATCTACGATTAATTCCTGTAAAATAATAATAGAAAGTTAACCTGACGAAATCTAAAATTTGCCAACCGGGGATCTCCAGCACCAACACATGTGCAACAGATAACATCAGCGCTCTGAGATATCTCCCGTTCTGTAGCCCGCTTCAGGGCTTTATACTTCTTCTCATCACTGCTGGATAATTCCCCTGTATACAGTTAAGAAAATATCATCATCAACCCAATAGTACTACCATACTTTTGTATAATGACATCTTCTCAAAAATGGCAGTAAGATCAGTGTATGGTTAGTCCTACAGTGGGATAGCCATGCGAAGGTAAAAGGTTCACATCATTTTAACTTTACTAATATATAAACAAGGACACACATAAGTGAACTTGTTAGAATGCGAGCATATAGGATTCCAATGGGCATTCAAAATAGGTTGTAGTAATCACAAAGCATATACATATAATATGTAAAAAAGAAACATAACAGTAGTAAAAATAACATACAGAGAAACATCACGTAAAGATAATAGAGTAAATAAGAAATGACAGAAACAGAACAACTTAGAGACACGATGGAAACAGCACACTTATTCTGCAGAGGATGGTGCATCAAGTTGAATATTTTTCTCCTTGCCACTTTAACATTAAGTACATAACAAAGTTCCAAAAATCAAGCATAAAGCCATAAAGCTTCAACCCTCATACACTATACTCTTCTTGTCCTATGGATATGTTAAATTTAGCATACTTTCAAGACAGATATGACCACCATATATTAAAAAAGAGCAAACAGAAACTATAAGCTCGATCATTCAAGCAATCAAATCTGGGATCCTCCTTCAAGCAACCCTCACCTTGTTCATCTTTCAATTGCTGCAGCTTGTGAAGTTCACTCTTTTCAGATGTATCAAGATGGCGAACCTTCAACAAGACCAGTTAAATAGATGTTTTTAGATCAGTGTAGTACATTAGAGCAATAAATGCATAACTAAAACACTATAAAACAAACAAACCTGATAATGAAGGGTTAAATGCTCAACAGGTGAACTAACAGCTTCCCTTGATTTAGCACAGAGCCTTACAACCTGGTTATGATAAATACCAACATAAAAAATTGAACCAAGAGATCTCCTATACTTGATGCTTATTCCAAAATGCAACAGCAATAGATGGTGGTTACACAGAACAACCTATTAACATTCTACCAACACAACTACGCCTAGAAAAGTAGTACTGAATATTCTAAAGTGAAAAGAAATAGAAGTTAGAGGATTCCACTGTCTAAAAAAATGCTACAATTCTAGACTCTTTTTTCTGGAAAGAACTACCATTCTAGAATTGTAGTCAAGCATATGAATTTGCATTATTTTAACTAAAATCACAGCATGATCCAAGTTAACATAGCCACTCCTAACATAGATTGAATAACCATGTAAACAAAGACTAAAATCCACATGACTCCATTGTAAAATATTTTGCTCAGGCATATCACAACATGATCAATGTTACAAAGTTAACTCAAAAACATATGATGGTGCACACCCATCCTCTATTTTACGAAAACTCAGAAGTCAGGGATGCAAATCAAGTTGAAAACTGGAAATGTAGGACATAACATATAAGCTAGTAAAAGATTGAAAGTTAGAGCATCAGTTACCTTTAAGCCAGTGGCACTTATCTTCTCCGCGAGTTGGTCTACAGCCACATTGCTAGGTGCACATACCAGAACCTGATTTAAGTAAGAATGTAGGAGAACCATTATCTCGTCGTTATAAGGCTCGCATACTATAAAATATAAAAAACCATGCCAGTAATATACCTGTCCTTGACCTTGTTTAGCCATGTGATAAACAATTGCGGCAGAAGTGACCGTTTTCCCAGTGCCTGGTGGCCCTTGAATCAAACTTATTGGTTTCTGAAGGACACTTTTTACAGCAAAAACCTACCAATCAATGGGCAGGTCAGGCCATCTCCACATAAACCATCCAACAAAGTCATTATTCAGCACAAAAACATAAAAGTAGACTAGAAGGAACTCAACAAGCATAGACACCATACAACTACGATGGGAAAATTGATGACAGAAATGTCACAGCATAAGAAATTTATGCAGAGTCAGTTTTGTGTAGGATCCAAGCACCCGACAAACAGATTCTTCATAACTGCTAGCACTTCTGATAGCTGCAAACCCAAATCAGCACTTAAATCATGTAGTCAGTTCCTTGTACCCACACACCCAAGCAAGGGAGTGGGAATTTGCAGCTTTTTTCGTTTGATCAAACTCCCTTCCCCAAGATTTGACTCCCACTCTTCATATCCATAGTGATATGGAACCAATCAAACACTGTTTATGGTTATCACAGCTAGGAAAGCTTGGTCAAATCCATAGCAATCCGAATCTCCAGTCACCCCACTTGGGAATGGTTTTTTGAAGTACATAACCCAAAAAATGTGATCATCCATCCTAGTACTACTCTAACCTAAGCGGAAGTTCTGAGGAGAGCCAATGCATTAATGCTGATAATGATCACAACAAATTTACACAGCAGTGACTAGGAAGCATATTTCAGCAATGTCATCCAAAACCGATGAATGGCAAAATCCATGGTTGAAACAAAATAAGCGTATCACCGCAAGGATGTATGGAAAAGAGAATCTCCTATAAGCTCTAAAGGTGATATAGGCAGTGAGTATTTTAAATGGTCAAATAGCCAAGACACGAAAGATTATGCCATTATAAATGGATGCTATGAAGGAATATTCAGTTTCATGCTTAAGATCACATAACACATGACTTGGATGGTCATAATTTATAATAAAAGAAAGTATACGGTAAAACCTACTTGAGATGCATTAAGCTCCGGAAGACCAGGTGCACCGAAACGGCGAGGTAATGCATTACGGACCATTTGAAACTCAACCTCATGGCCTAACAAATGATGATAAATATACCTGCATAGATTCAGCATATGAATGACATCCCCACACATTATCAGCAAAAAAACAAGCAAAAAGCAGAAACCCTGAGAGTACCAAGTGTAAATTGACATTTAACTATACCTACCCACAATGTACTATGCCAATTTAAATAAACAATAGTCTTTCATGAAATTTCCACCAAAATCTCTTAAACCATAAACATAGAAAAACGTACTTGGTTACTTGCCGATCTACATTTTCATTTTCTTCTATAAAATATTAACAAAAGAAGAAACTATTATATTGTTTCCAAATTATTCATCAAAAGATCCTGTGGTTCATTCTTACGTTACAAGTCCACAAATAGTAAGAGTAATGTCAAGTCAATATTGACTAGAATATAATGTATTTTCCTGTTTAACAGAGGAACACCCTTATTCCCAGTGAATCGGTAAATTATCTATATATCATGAAAGGAAGAAAAGAGGTAGCACAGAAAACAAAAGTTTTCTAAAAAATCTCCATAATCGCATGCAATTTATTTTCAAATGATATCCAACCCACCCGCTGACACTTGTTTCATCCACTGCAAAAGTTTTCATTGCACCCTGCATCCTATCAAAACTTGTGCTCTTCCATACAAAGTCAACACTAAAACCATGGTTCACATCAACAGGAACTCCCTACAAACATCATCACCAGTAAGTAACGAAAAAAAATATTATAAGACATCAAAAATCATGATAATACTACCTGACTCGCACGAAGCTCAAGCGCCACCTCCTCTTGTGCAGTGAGTTTTATCTGCAACAATAAAACCAGCATAAAATGAGAAATTTATATAGAAAAAGAAGATAAAAAACCACTCGTAGACCAGCTTCAGATGATAACACGAGAACATGTGTTCCAGCAAGAGTTATCTTGGAAAACCAGAATAAAGTGAGAAACATGTATATAAAAAACAAAAATGACCAGCCCCTCTGAAACCAGTTTTCAAAGATAACACATGAACATGTGTCACAGAAAGTATGCTATTTTGTAAAAGTTTCTTGTTTCAATGTAAGCATCCAAGCATGCAAAGGGAAGGATCAAAGGAACAAGAAGCCCGTACCACATGTCCAACTGACTGCCAAGCTGGATGAGCAGCATCCCCGGAGTACCGCAGCCGTAACTCATCACCAGGTACAAGACGCAATTCGTTGTCTTCCTATAGTAGTCATATAAATTAACACATAGGCAATTTCAAACCAAGGCTGGTAAACAATAACTCTACCAAAACTAATATAACAATTTAGATGCAAACATCCAAACTGATAAAAATCTAAATCACCTTTGGAAAAACAAAATATGCAATACGCTTCTTGTTAAGACCAATATCCCACCGTATTGTGAGGTTGTCTTTGCTTTGAGATTCTTTCATCATCTGTTAAACAACAAATCAAATTCATGTTTACATAGTTGGATCAAGAAGAAAATGTCAAACAAGAAAGTCAAGCACAAGGTAAACCTTTCTTCTTCATCAGAATAGGATGTTGAATGGATAATAGAATAACTACAAGAAGCATTGCTTACTTTATCATAGTCGGCTTCAAGCTTGATGAGTGGGGCAAACACATTTTGATACTGAAACCAGAAAAACAAGCGCAAATGGGTTGTTACGATATTACCCATACAAATAAATATGATGCCGCAATTTGACATAAATGAAAACTAGATATTGTACAGTGTTCTAAAGTCATAACCAGTTTAAGGAAACCATGTACAACGCCTTTTAGATAATTAACTCAAAAGTATGGCACTTAAACCTGATAGGCGTCTTCATATTTCAAGGCTACAGGCTGAGGCTCATCATCTACACCAGGCTTCTCAAGATCCTCCAACGTAGCATCAGGATTAGTTTTCCAAAGCTCTTCCACCTTATTGATCTGCTGAGCACTGATATGGCGTGCCCGCAGCTGCTCCTGTTCAGATGGAACCTGCAAGAGACAATATAATGAGTTTGAAACAAAACAAAACAGAAGATCACACTTCAAATACTAACTAGTTTTTCCCTTAAACCCTATGTGTTCAACATACACAGAGAGACATGAAAGATAAGCAAGATACATACACACACACACACACATATATATATATATGCTAACCTTAACAAGCCACTGCAAGAAACATCTATCATCAATAAGTGGACACCATTGACTCAGATCCCAATTCATGTCTTTCAGCGCATTCACATTAAGACAAGGTTCCCTGCAAAGTAGAACAACCACACTCTCTGTCTTGGCTGAAATAAATCCCAGAAGGAAAACATTTCGACATCCGCAGTTATAGCATTCAAGAATCGTTTCTCCCAGAGGACTGTCTTTATGAAGACATACTTCTTTATGCTTAGCTCGTACCTGCAAAAGAGCACAACAAAATTAGCATCAAAAGCTGATTAAGACTATAGTAAGTTATCCTACGAAGAACATGACCAAACTTGTTCATGCCAAAAATCACTCATGCATAACCCCCTTCACTTGTTAACCACAAAATCTGATGATCATTGGCAATAGATACTTTACGTTTATCAAGTATTAATGTGATGTACATCAGCATATGGTGCAAGTAATGAGAGTGAAAGACTAACATGTGCATAACAAAATGTAAATCTAGGGCAAAATAAATCAGATAGCCTTGGATCAGTTCCTACAACCCCACCAGCAGAGTTCTAGTAAATTTTTATAAACTCCATAAAATACCATAGCAAATAAGAAACAGCATTTGGCAAACAAGAACTAGCACAAATTTATTTATTATATTATTGCAAGTAACGCACGACTAAATAACAAGAATAGCATGGGAACAAATGAACAATAGTATTGGCAATGGCCATACAGAAATGCAAATTCACAGCTGTGAAGAATTCTTCCAATCCAAGTCAGGAAGCATATTCAAGTGACACAAATCAAAACATAAACTACCACTACTATCCAACAAAAACTTAACGAGTTCAGAGTGATAACTGCCCCACGGAAAATATGAGCACAGTTCCAAGTCCAACTCGCACTATAAATGTTTGGATGCTGAGATGTAGGGTTGTCTCGGGCAAGACACCAAGTTCTGTATTTTCCAGAGTAAATTGATTGTTCCTTCCTGAATATGGAAATTAAATTATTGTACAGATAAACCAAAACTCATTTGATTAGTAGAGCATGTGATAAATCAGCTAAGGGTATTTAGCAAACATCTTTCAGATACTTCAGATTGTAAAAGTGAAACTGACGCTTGTTGGATAGCAGTAACTTCGGCAAACAAGAAAAACACTACACAGCTATCTCCATGATGCTATCACTTGCCAAAGACGGCTTAACTTAGAGATACATATCCAACTCTCATTCTAACACTCTAGCAACAGCACCATATTTGCAGAATGTAGATTAATATTATATATTACCATATCAAACCCAGATGCACCAGTTCATTCTAAAGCACTGCCCTATAATAAGGCTGGTGACAATAATATAAGGTACCTTCTGAACTGTAAGTCCCCAGAACACTAAGGCCACTTTCCCTGTACTTTTCTCCCCTTAAAAATAGATAAAATAGTGAAGCACCTATACTATATAAGCTTACCCAGGCACATAAAAAAACCTCATAACATCATTAGTTTTAACTTAAAACAGGTTAGGCATCCAAGCAAGCTTCTGAATGGTATTAGTGACCAACCCACATAACAAACCATGAATCTGGTTCCTACACGGCTACATAGCAATCTTCATACACTGCGTTTAATGGCCACAAAACGGCCTCGAACTTCTCCATCCCTATCCTCATACCCCCAGCCTCGATACCAAAAACCATAAATAACTTGGGCAAGATTAGAGAAATAGTTTGATAGGTTATTTTCCCCTTCACAACTATCACCTCACTTAGTTTTGCAAGAACAACAACTAGATCTTGGAGTATAGACGATCCGTTTCATAGCAATTAACAAGAAAAAAGGCTAATGTAAATCTTCTACCTCAGAGAGGGTTGGCTATGCAGATGGAAGCTTCACAAAAGTACATGAGACTCGACTAATACCAAATTAAGTGGCCTCATGATGCTTAAAATAGATCTATGTGAAACCCCTAACCTAAAGTCTTTAGGGGAGAAACTGCACAGAGGTATGATAGCCTAAACTACCCACTTTTGTTCAGCTTAAACAAAACCTTTCCAACATTTTTGACTCAAAATTCATTGCTCCAAAGTAATCTATCATTTTCAGGAATAAGATTGATTGAGCCCATTTCACCTACTTCCTGCCATTTTCTAGTTCATGATAAATTTTGGTACATCAAGTTGAGTTCTACCATATCGTTTTTTACTTAATCCTACCTCTCCTGTTGCCATTTCCCTCGTGAAAAGTACTCCACCAAATGGTATGCAAAGACCAAGATCGAACTTTGCAAGTCCTACAATGCATTTTCTATATTTCCATCCTTACCTTAAGTATAATCATACAAACTTACTGCCAATTAATATACATAATTCACATATGATAAGAAATGAATCACAAATGAAGTTAATTTACAACTTACCAAATGATTAACAATGTGGGAACCAGACGTGTTCCCCCTTGAATTGCAGAACCATTTCCGACAAGATGGCACGTTACACCTCACGACACACGCCGGATTCTGCACCCCGCAATACCTACATGCGTGCTCCATAAAATCCCCCTTTCCATACTCATAACTCTCATCATCGCCAGTCTCTTCAAAATTCAACCCGCTCATCCCTGCAGCTAGGGCATCAACCGCCGACGCCTGATTAACATTATTATTACCCCTACCACCACCGCCCTTCCCCGAAGTTGCTGAGCCAGGGGATGCGTTGCTATCAGAACGGTGGTCGACGGCGGCGGAGGTGTCGACGGATATGGAGTCGGACGGTGTGGGCCATACTGACGATGAGGGTGAAGATCGAACGGCATTGGGTTGTGAGAGCTCTTGAAACTCTGGGTAATTGAAGTCTTCTTCCCCTTGCGTGTTAAATTCCAAGAACGTGTAGGCGTCGTCGTTGCCGGTGTCGGGCTGGGAGGCCGTTTCGTATAAGTTGTTCGGCTGAGAATCCATAGCTTGGTGGGAAAAATCAACGAAGTTACGTTGACAAATTGAGGGTTTTCTTAAAGATGAATAAGTGAGAGCAGTGATTCTGATTCAAGATTTGTGATAAGGTTAAATGTTGTCTAGGGTTTGATAAAATGGCAGAAGAGGAGAGATACAGGGTCTGTATGTATAGGTGGGTTAAGACGTAACGAGTTGACTCGCACGAAAGTGTTTGAACAAATCATATTTTTGTCCAAATAATACACAACTTCTTTGAAAAATATAATTTTGTAACAAAACATAAAAAATGAATGACGGAAACGACACATAATCCTCCAACGCTCTCCCTTATAACGAGTCAAATGGATGATGGTGTATAATTTATACTTCTTTAAAACCTTATGTCAGATAAATAAAACACAGTAGGAAAAATAAAAACCTTAGACAAAAGAAAAAATACATCAGACACAGGGGTTCAGGAAAAAAAATGGTATATAAATTGTTGCATCACTAAAAAAAAATTACAAGGAAAAAAACCAAGTGGGAAAAATAAAGACGAAGGAAAGACCACAAACCATCAATGGTACATGTGTAATATACACCTTTGGTCAATTACTCCCTCTGATTTATACATTAATCAAAGGAGCTTACCTGATAAGCGCTTACCGATATGAGTCAATACTATGATTTATTTTGATGTGTAAGATTTTAGTATATCACAGCATATTGAATGCAATAATTTAGTGGGTAAGCGCTAACTTGGGTAAGAGTCGTCATCCTCACTTACCGGGTAAGACTTTTCATCATTCTCATCGCTCTTACCCGGTAAGATTCTTGACTCTTCTCATGTTCATCCGATGAGAAAATTTATTCGGTAAGTACTTACCAAGTAAGTGTTTAATAAACGGTCCCTTATAAAGTTTTTGCATGTCAGTGTTCTCCATGTGTTTCTCAAATGTGACCTTAGGCAATGAGTTAGTGAACAAATCTGTCACATTTTCATTGGGCCTTACTTGATTTACTTGAATCTTTATGAGAGTTTGTTGTTGTTGATTGTTGATTGTTGAATGTCCTTGATATATATCTCACTTCCATTTGTTCGATACAAAATGCATTATCTTTTCACAAATGCATGTAGATTTTGGTGGTAAAACTTAAACCACTAGCCCCTCATGTAATGGCATACCTTAGCCATATACAATTTTGAATTGATTCATAGAGAGCAATAATCTCTGAATGGTTCGATGAGGCAGCTACAAGGGTTTGTTTGGTTGATTTCCAGTAAATCGTCATGTTCCCAATTGTAAATACATATCCATTTTGGGAATGACCTTTGTGTGGGTCAAAGAGATACCCAGCATCATCGAAGCCTACTAATACATTGTTTGGAGTTTCACTGTTAATACCATTATTGTAACCTCATTTTTTTGTAGGGGAAGAATAAACCCATGTTGATGGTTCCTTTTAGGAATTGAAAGATATTCTTGATACAGTTTCAATGATGTTGTGTTGACAACGAGTTAAATATGGCTATCATGTTCATTGAGAATGCAATATCTGGTCGAGTACATTATGCTAAGTATAATAATGCACATATTGCACTCGTATAGGGAATTTTAGCTCCCAAAATCTCTTCGTCATTATCCTTTGGACGAAATAGATCTTTTCATGTATCCAAACTTTGATCAATCATGGGAGTGCCAGCCGGATGCACTTTATCCATATTAAATTGCCAAAGCATTTTTTAGACATAAGCAAACCGGTGGACAAGTATTCCATAAGCTCGGCGTTCTAGTTCTATATCTAGGCAAAACCTAGTTTTCCCAAGAACTTTCATCTCAAATTCAAATTTCAAATAACTCGTAGTATCTATTATTTCATCAAGATTACATATTATGTTCATATCGTCGCCATACACAACTATGATCGAAAATCCATAACTTGTCTTCTTTAAAAAAACACAAGAACACGGTTCATCATTCTTATAATCCTTCCCAATCAAGTATTCACTCGTACGGGTATACTACATCCGTCTAGATTGTTTTAATTTGTAAAGTGGGCGCTTAAGTTTAATTACGAACGCACTCTATGGATTAGAGTTACTTGACTCGGGTAGTAGAAAACCATTAGGCACTTTCATGTATATTTCCAAGCCTAGATCTCCACAGAGATATGCGATAACCACATTCGTAAGTTGCATTTCCAGTTCTTTAGAAACTACTAGGCTAATTAGATAGTGAAAAGCTATTACGTCCATTATCGGGGAGTATGTCTCCTCATAATCAATCCCAAGGTGTTGTGAGAAACCTTACACCATAAGAAAAGCCTCATATCTTATAACTTCACTATTCTCATTATTGACAAAGACTCGTTTATGTCCTACAGACTTTGTACTTGGTGGGGTTAGTGTAACAGCCGCGATGCGGGTGTGTCACTCGTCCCACATCGGTTGGGAAGGAGAACGAAGCACTCCTTATAAGGGTGTGGATACCTTCTCTAGTAAGACGCGTTTTGGGTGGGATACGAACTTCGGTTCATGCCCATGCCAGGAGAAAACCGTGCGGCTACCGTGTCCGGTTAGGTGCGGGTTAGTCAAAGCGGACAATATCTTGCTACGGGGTTCTGGGGGCGTTACAAATGGTATCAGAGCCAGACCCGGACCGATTGTGGCCCAACGAGGACGTTGTGTCCTAACGGGGGAAGGGTGTAACAGCCGCGATGCGGGTGTGTCACTCGTCCCACATCGGTTGGGAAGGAGAACGAAGCACTCCTTATAAGGGTGTGGATACCTTCTCTAGTAAGACGCGTTTTGGGTGGGATACGAACTTCGGTTCATGCCCATGCCAGGAGAAAACCGTGCGGCTACCGTGTCCGGTTAGGTGCGGGTTAGTCAAAGCGGACAATATCTTGCTACGGGGTTCTGGGGGCGTTACAGTTAGCACTACCGAACCAAATACCTGTCTTTTTGCCAAATAATCTAGTTTTGCATGGATTTCTTCTTTCCATTTAAGTCAGTCTGCTTTTGTTGACATTCTTCAACTAAATGTGGTTCGATGTTATCGTGCTATATGATCTTATAAGCAATAATATATGCAAATATATCATCAACGAGTATGGATGATCTACATCAACTCATGTGCATTCTCATAATTCATTGAGATTTCGTTGTTCTCTAAAATGAAAATCGACTTCGAAGCATCCTCTAGTAATGATTCATGGACATAACTATGATCAGAGACAATCTCATGAGAAGGGTTTTGGGTATTGACGATAAGTGATTTGGATTGTGCCTTACTCTCCTTTTTCTTTCTTGGATGAGTATTTATTAAAACCAAGTGGCCTTCCACTTTTTTCTCTTGGGAGCCACAACCTCGACCACGCTTCTATTATGTGTGGTTGATACACTCTTTCCAACAGTTTTATACCCCTGTTTAGGGACTTATAACCTTCCAAGTACATTTGCAGCTAGTATATGTGATCTTGTCACTTTTACAATATCAGTAAACGTCTCAAGTATCATTCTGCTACATTTTGAAGATTTACTATTTGTTTCACTTACTTTCATATTATGAAGTACGGTGATCAAAATGTGACAAAGTGGAAACATTTCATGAAAATTCATATCGTTCCCTTGGAAAATTCTATTTCTTATCTCCCCATAACGACAGGAATACTGTCTAATCAAAGTGACAATCTACAAGTCTTGCGTTAAACAGATCACCTGTCAAGAGTTCTAAATAGCGAATAATTGTTGGGTACTCATATCCAACATATATATTTGATCGCCTTTAAAGACCCATTTTGGTGCACTGTGGCGGATGCAATTGGCACATATACTCGCAACCAAATATGTATAAATGTGAAATATCATATTCGTATCTAGTTACTAACTGTTATGCAAAAAATGGTTAGCTAGCAGTGGGTTTAAGGCGAATAAGTAGAGTTGCATGTAATATTGCATAGCCCATGAGAAGTGGGTAAATTCGTGCACATTGTTTATGCCAAAAATTACACCAAATCTAATTTAAGGTTTGTTTGTGGAGCTTTTACAGTTAAAGCTTAACCACTTTTAAAGAAACACGACATGAAAGTAAATAAAGGAGACAAAGAAATCTGTGACGCAGAAAAACCCTTGAACGAAGGAAAAAACCGTGGACGATACTTGAGATTGTCGATGCACTATGGACACCAAGCAAGGACGTCATCATTAATACAACTATAGTTACAGATCATGGATAAACACGTCGGTCGTGGGAAATTAGGTAAAACAATAGTAGCTTCTCATGAGTTACTTAGTGCTTGAATTTCTCTATGTGCGTATATCTTGAGGATCTAATGTCCGTTTTCTTGAGTTCGCTTGGCTTTTTATAGGTGTCCTTTTAGAGGTTCTAGTGGTTGTTTTGTGATGAGATTTTATGAAGATAACTGTTGGATCATTTAAGTGTCTTGAACATTTGCCTTCGGTTATAATTTGCATCATTGATGATCGAACCTAAGCTTTATTCATGCAATAAAGATCAAATGTAACAAATGTTGAGGTTAATACGTGGTAACGTTCGTTGTTAATATGACTCATTGTAGATGATCTCGATCGCAGCCAAATGATCCTCGACCAAGGGTCAAAGGTTTTGTGGCCGTAGATAACCACAGTCATACGTAGAGAAATCTTTGGCAGTATGAATCTTAGTCACAAATGTTATGGTAATAGACAATATACTCGACGACTGAGGGTGTAGAATTTTTACCATAACAGTTTGCCCTCGAGATTTAAATTAAATTAATTGTTTGAATTTCAAATCTCGTGCAAAAAAATAGATTGGTTTATCAAATGGTTCATTTTGACATGTGTCGCTTGGGATTAAATCAGTTACTTGAAAACCGAACTGATTATGTGGGAAAATGAATCGTTTACATGTAAAACTAAATTGTCGATGATTTGATGACTTCAATGGACGTCACACGCATGATTAGAACTACGTTAAGAGTGCGTGTCGTTCATCCATCTGATGACATGAATCGCCATGACACGTGTCGATCATCGGATGTCGACCTGCCATGCGATATTTCTATAATAAGATATATTTTGAATTTTTTTCCGTTTTACGGCCTGGAGAAGTTTTTAGAGAGAGAAA